AGAATTCTCATAAAGCTGTAGGGCCGGGCCCATGCAGGGCTCTATTCGTTCCCTCGTTGCCCCCAAACTGCCCGGGACCATATGCACCTGTATACCCTGCATAACCAGACGCTACACCACTGATCTTAATTGTTCTTATCTGTTCATAAAAGTTTTATGTTTAATAAGCGACTTTGTCATTGTAGCATTGTTGATGTTGTGTGTGTGTGTTTTCATTAAGAGTAATATTGAATCAACCTTAAGAATTAATTTTGTTTCAAGAATAGGAAAGACCTAACGTTAAAGATCACAATAAGCGCTACAGATGTGAGAATGCGAGATTTGTTGCTGCTGAGGTAGACGCTCTCGCTCTTTCTCTGCTGTCTGTAGAAATTGTTGTTAATTCTTATTTTGGGAACGGCAGAGACACGTTACAGGTTATAATATAATCCAAAAATCATGGCAACAAATGATTTTTTAAGTCAGTTTAATACGTTTAATCAGTTGAAACGACTTTCACAGTCAATTTGATTCAACTTAACTCATATTTAACCGTTGCTTCTTGTTATTGTAGGCTTAGGCTACTTTTTTCAATGAATTTTAATGAATATACTAATTAATAAAATGAATATTATTTATTTTGTATCACATATTGTTCATTAATTTCTTTTTAACACCGCACCCCCAGCACCCCCATTTTTTCGTGGGCTACACTCCAGGGGGTGCTGCAGCACCCCTACTTCCCGTGGTAATGCCCATAGTTTAGGGTGCAGCAGTCCAGTACAGCTTACATTTTCCTAAGATAACAAACAAACAGACCTTAAGCAAAATTTGAGCAAAATCAGTCTGACTCTGCCCAGTAGTATTATGTACTAAACATGTTAAGACATGTAAATAAGATTTTAAAGATTGTTTTCTATTAGTGATAAAATAACAGGGCCCAAAAAAACAAAAAAAACAAAAAAAAACCCCCGCCTAAACGCCTGTGCGCGTTCACGCGTTAAGCCTGATCTCCAGCGATGTCTGAGAGGAAGTTTCTGACACGTCTAACGGCTGAAGAATATGAGTCTAGTTTTAGTTTTACTGCGTTTATATTTGTGGCATTTGGATGGTAAGTAGGCCTCTTTATTTTATGTATTCAGTTCTTGCAGAACGAGTAAAATAACATTATGTAAACTCGCAGGAATTACGCATTGACATGCAGAATATAATAAGAATGCAAAGGCATAATTTCTTATGCAAAACTGGGACACTTTAATCTTTTGTTAATAAAAGTGTATTTCAGTTGATCGTTAAGTCTGTTTTCAGGTGTGATTGGTGCTGACTCTGAGGCAGGTGAAATGAAGAGTTTGTCAGTGATGGAGGGAGATTCTGTCACTCTACACACTGATACTAACATAAAGAGAAATGATACAGTGATAGAGTGGATGTTTGGAGCTGAAACCCCAGATATTCTCATTGCTGAAATCGATAGAGCGGCAAATATCAATGATGTTACTGATGAGAGATTCAGAGACAGAGTGAAGCTGGACAGTCAGACTGGATCTCTCACCATCACAAACATCAGAACCACAGACTCTGGACTTTATAAAGTAGTGACTGTAACAAATCCAGTAGTAGTCAAGACGTTCAATGTTACGGTCTATGGTGAGTACAACAGTAGAATAGTAGTGTTTTTTTCTCTCCAGATTTGCATTTTGATATGATAAATATTTGTCACAATCACTCACAGAATTAAAAAATTAGTTAGATTTGTTAGCGCTCTTTTCTGTGTGTTGACACAAAACTTTGCTCTCAATAAGCTTTGACTGAGAATATGAATCTAAAAATGTATGCTTGCTTTTGATTTTATTTACTCTGATTTCTCTTCATTCCTCTGATATTTTCTAGCTCTTCTTCCTGTTCCTGTCATCATCAGAAACACTTCACAATGTTCTTCATCAGTCTCTAAATGTTCACTGCTGTGTTCAGTGCTGAATGTGTGTCATGTGACTCTCTCCTGGTACAAAGGAACCAGTTTAATCTCCAGCATCAGTGTGTTTAATCTCAGTATCAGTCTCTCTTTACCTCTGGAGGTGGAACATCAGGATAAAAACACCTACAGCTGTGTGCTGAACAACAACATCAGCAACCAGACCAAACATCTGGACATCAGTGAACTCTGTCAGCATTGTGTGGGTACGTCAGTGATATTTGTGTTTATTTACTAAGCTAATCTGTTGGTTGTGTTCAGGTGTGTGATGTAAACAGTAGTAGGAAGCAGTCTTAATTCATCATGATAGGTTAGATTAGCAGAGCCACTTACACTAATGAATGTCTCTCTTCAGGCATTACAGATACAAATCACATAGTGCTGATATCTGTTGCTGCGGTAACTCTGTTGATTGTGGCTGTGGTTGGGATGTTCTGGATATGCAGGAAATGTAGAAAAACAGACCAAGAAGGCAAGTATAACTAAAGTACAGCTAATACATGCTGTATATGAAAATATAGAAAAAAATATGAAGAATTTAATACATCTGTCATTATTGTTAAAATAGTCCAGCCCCATGAGGAAGACATAATTTATGCTGACCCAACGTTCTGTAAAAGAAATGCACAAAAACCGGTAAGAAAAAAGTTAATGATTTTGTCATGTGTCTCTATTATTTCAAGCGAGTCAGTTTCACTCACCATGTTTTCCATTGTAGAATTCCTACTAGATATTTCTGTTTCTGTTGCTCATCACAGTGGCTTCATCTGAAGTGAACTGTTGATCACCGGATTTGTTCTTTGTTGTTGGATTGTTTCAAAAAAGATAACATACAAAGACAGACATACATCACAGACAGATATATTTACATAGCAAACACTACTAAAGAAGATTTTTTGGGGCTTTTTTATACTCTTAAATTTATTGGTGTTAGTGGTTCCATGAAGAACCTTTCAAATCTATGGAATCTTTCAATTCCACAAAAGGTTCTTTATAGGGGAAAAGCGTTCTTTAGATGATAAAACTGTTCTTCATACTAATAAAAAAATTGTTATTTTAAGAACTGTTTATTAAAAGGTTCTTTAGGGAAACAAAAATGGTTCTTCTATGACATGACTTGTAAAAAATCATTTTGGAACCTTTATTTTTTTAAGAGTGTAGACCTGTCATCTACTCAGATAGGAGAGTTCTGCTTTAGAGAAGTTAGAACAGCATTATACATAAGTGTAGCAGACAAGGGTTTAATTCAAGAAATGTTATATTATTTAACTATATATATATATATATATATATATATATATATATATGTGTGTGTGTGTGTGTGTGTGTGTGTATTATTTTATATTTGTGGTAAACTTTATGAGTCAACATCATAGAATGTGATATATTTGTGCACTATAGTGCTCCATTACATTGCCTGTGACTCATAATTATTCATTAGACCATGTAATTTTTTAGCAGATTCACAGCAGCTCCCTGCCTGTAAGAGGTGGCGTTTCTATGTTAAAGGGGTCATATGATGTTCACCGTGGACGAAGCGGAGTCCAGCCCGGGGTCGTCACATGTGGTTGCCGCAAGCCCGCCGGCTGCTCCTTCATCGAATCCGCCGGCCACGCCGTTCTCAAGCCCGCCAGCCGTTCCTCACTCTAGCCGCCGGCCTCCTCTCACTCAAGCCTGCCGTGTGTGACGCTGTGTGGCGCATTTTATGGAAGACTGTTTCCTGAACCTGCAGAGTAGCATACAATGGGTCTGTGCTCAAAGGCTGTTCTATAAAGTGGGGTATGTCCCCACTGGATGCAACAAATGCCTCGTTTGTAATGTGTTTGATTGGTTTTGTCTCGCCGTGCCGCAAGACGGCATCACACAGTGTGTTCAGGTGCGTTACATTTCCGTTACACGCTTGAGGTATTCAGCCAATCACAACGCACTGGATAGCTGGCCAATCAGAGCACACCTCGCTTTTCA